GATCGCGAGATCGTGACCTGAGTTCTTTGCTCCGTGTGGCCATGCTTCAAGTGCTCGAGAACCACTCCTGGCTGGCGGCTGGTTCTGTACTGGACAGCTCACCTGCAGGGCTTTCCACCATCCAGAATGTTCTGGCAGGTGGGGCACAACTGGTGTTCATCCCCGTCCTGCAGCTGCTTCTCGGAAGGCTGCTTGAGCCCAGGGCCCCCAGCATCCTGACAGTGGGGAGACTGAGGCACGGGCTGCGTTGGGGCTCACTGAAGGGAGAGGGGCTCCCCCTGCTGGCGGGGCTCCTGTCCGAGACCGCCTGCGGGCACGTCGGGAGCATCTGACAAGTCTCTAGGGGACCTGAGCCCTGTGGGGTCTCTGCTGCTGGCCGGGCGTGAGCTGTTTTAGGAAGCGGGGCCGCTGGGAAACGCGTGTCCCAATCCTCCTCCTCCCAACCCCGGGTGCTGGGTCTCACGAGGTCTCGAGAACAGAGAAGAGGTTGCGGGACGAGAGTGGGGCGGGAGCCAGCCTGCCCTGTGGCTCCGTTGTGGGCCCCCGCCCTCTGCGGGCGGACGTGGAGGCCGATCCCCGGACAGGGGTGTCCCGCCCCTTCTGTGATCCGTGCCCCCAGCCGGATCCTCTCCCTGTCGCTCCCTGACCGGGGTGCTGTGTGCCGTCCCCAGACTCCCCAGGCCTCTCCGGGAGGGCGGAGGACGCGGAGGCCCAGCAGCAGCAGCTTTACCAGCAGAGCCGCGCCTACGTAGCCATGAATCAGCGTCTGCAGCGGGCGGGCGACGGGCTGAAGCAGAAGCGTGAGGACCTGTGGCGGGCTGGCGAGGGGCTGGAGCGGGAAGTCCGCCTGCTGAAGCAGGGGGCGCCCCCAGGGGCCGAGGCCGCCTCCTTGGGCTGACTGGCCCGCCAGCTCGCCTTAGCGCGCACCCCGGCAGGGTGCCCCGCGGCTCACCGGCACCTTTGGTCCCCCCCGAGACACCTGACCCGGCACACCTCAGACGCGGGCCCCTGGGTCGCATGGCCTGGGCTCGGCCCGGAGACCCCGGGGCCCACAGCCTGCGT